TGAATTCGAAAAGGGGATTTTTTGTATCTCCATCTCTGTTTAGTGAAAAACTGCATTCCCACACAACCAAAAGCCGGAGCTTTCCTGTCAATGTATGAGTTGCGTAAAAAGCTCAGATAAAAGCTCGGTAAATTCTTGGAATAATATATATTTACGAATATTTCAACCATCTGTTCATACATACACGAGCTTTCGGATTGATAATTAAAGAAATTCATGAGTCATGCTGAAAAACAGAAATCACCAAAGTGCAAAAAGAGCTTCAGCTTGGAGCAGTTGGCGAACAAACTGCCATCATGTGATATTTGTAATGGGCCCCAAAATACCGACAACAGGTACCCGGCGTGGGTTTTTCATGTTTGGGCCACGTATGAGTTAAATCCGCCAAAGCTAAGCGGCCTAATTGCCATTTTATAAATACACACATACGTGGGTCTAAAAATTCGTGGAAAATTTCCCCCCAAAACGCGCAGCCACACGCAGACTTTCAAATGCTAATCTTCTGGCGCCGAGCTAGCACAGGCTGGCACGAGATCTTGGATTCGAAGACCCACGCCAACCATGGCCGGTCTAAGTTGGCAAATTACCAAAAAATATACTCTATGGTGTATTTGTGCAGATGACCAAATTGCTAGCCGAAGGTGGGAATACGAGGTGAAGGCAAACGCCTTTTAGCCTTTTCACAATGACTGCGCAGATTAGACCCCAAAAGGTTTGATCAGATAGTGCTCATATGTATAGCTAAGTTATCGGCGCATAAAGCGTCTTCCTTGTTCGATTTTGCTATCTAATCTTTAGGGTTTCTATATGCCATAGGCTCCTTCAACATATATGTATGTACATATGTATGTATGCAATTTAAAATATATGACTAAGAGTGTGTAATTTTTTTAATGACTAATATACGCTTATTCCATATATGGTATTTATTTGATACCATATTGGTGCTCTCGTTACTAAAGGCTGCTTAAGAATTTTTTGAGCTTAGAAACGGTTAAAAATAATGTATGTCCCTCAGAATAACTACTAGCTATGTACATATATATACAAACAAAAATATACTTAACATTTTGAAAAAGTTTTGAATTAAAATTGTATAAAAAAAAATATTAAATTACATAGAATTATTGCATTTATCTAAGTTTGTTAATTATTAAATTGAAACACACCACTATGAACAAAAACAATAATTTGTTTAATTTAAGTAATGTACCTCAAATCTCGCCCTACCTTGCCCTATCAAAGTGTAAGCCTAATAGGCCTCATAAAGAGGGCTCGTCAGTGGGTGATAGGCCTCAATGTAATTTGTAAAAATGTGGGGCCAATGTCAATGACACTGTGGGCAACAAGTTGCTAGTGTAAGTGTTGCTAGGCTAGACAAATAGTATCTCAACATTGGTAACTGAAAGATAATCTATAGGCTATATAGGTATATTTTGGTGCTTACCCTCCATCATGGTGCTGCCCTGGTAAGCAGGTTCCACTGATGAGACTAAAATTCACTGCTCCTTGATGTACACTCTAGTTGGTGGCTCCTCTTTTTCGGCGACTACCTCAAAAACGATAAAAACCACAGCGGTGGCGATAAATGGTGCCCCGAATAATGTCGTCGCGCTTCTTCCGTAGCAACTTGGAGCGCTTCAGCTTTAGCTTGAGGATCTTCGTACTTGTAGTACCTGTCCCGAGGGTCGAGGTGGTAGTGAAGCAATTGGTGCAGTGAATCTTATTGTTATGCCAGCGACGCATACGCATACACATCAAATTATTGAGCATGGGAACCTGCTGCTGCGACTGTTGCACACACATGGGGGAGACGACAGGCGAATCTTGCATGACGGGGCGCAGCACGGTGAGACAGTTTTTCTCCTTCCTCGCTGTTATTGTTGTGGTTTTTGGTACCGCAGACACAGCGAACATAATATTCGGCAACGAGCCTTTGAAACTAATATTATTAGCACGATAGCACAACCGGGTGTAGCTACAATGTTTTTGTTAAGATTCGCAAATGTTAAACACACGCTTATCTATACAGCATCTAGATACAACTCTTATCTCAGATACTGGTATAAAAGTATATAGAAATGGATTGTTTTTTCACGAATGATTTATTGCGACTCTGGGCAATTTTTCGCTTCGCACTTTGCACTCAAAATGGAGTTTTGATAATTTCCGGAACGAGTGGAAATTATTGTTCTATGAATAAGAAATCTTTATAACGATGTTCAGCTTTAGATGCCATTAAGAATCATTAGGTTTGGTTGGGTTTTTGATGTTTTTTGTCGATTTAATTTGGAAACGCACTATTTCACAAATTCCACGCTGATTTGCAAACACGAAGAGGCTTTCGGATTTCGATTGGACTGACTGACTCAAAATGTGTTGTTCTGTTCGTGGCGGCCGAAGTATTGTTACTAACTGACTCGACAGTGAGAGCTCTGGACGATTGTCGTCTGTCCGGGGCTGATATAAAAATTTGCTGACGTCGTTTTGGTTTCTCTACTCTAGCACCCCTCTTTTCTATATACCCTTCTCTTGGTCTATGGACCAGTGGGTCGGTCTCTCACAGCTGCCGAGTCTTTTCAGTGGCCGTGCCCCCAAAACATGGGATTCTTTTCCTATTTTTGATTTTAAGGAGTAGGCCACATGAACATAATCAGGCACCTTTTTAGGTTATTTGAAATTGAAATGTAAACTGGCTTCATTTAGTTTTAAGTGACAGAGAGAGGCGTAAAAAATCCTATCCTATTAATAGTTAACTCACGAATTTTTTACACTTATTCATACCTAAATAAAAATATAGTCATCTTTGTATATTTAAAATATTTATATAATATATAAATTATTCTATATTTATATAACCCAAAAACAAAGTTTATTTAAATATATACCTTATATGTTTATAATGATCATAACATAGTGTGAATATCACTGTAAAATTATTCCTAACCCTAAACACTGCCCTGGCTCGTGCCTCAGGCGGTACGGAATAAAGGCATAGATAACGTTTTGGCCACACTGAGTCTTATCAAGTTCCGCCAAAAACAATCCAGATAAGAGGCTCTAAAAAAAAGATTAAAGACGCCTTCATATTGTGGATTTTGCAAATATCTGTGCAATATTTGTAAATTACCCCGAACTTGTTTTGCTTTCAGAAAATGGCTGATAATCTGGAGAGTTTAACGAACGATGGCGAGATGATGAAGTCGCCTATATCCGACCTGAAATGTGTAGGGAACTTGTTTGGCGGCTTGCCGAGGGAGGCAATAACAGCAACAACAATCGGCGTGCAGCATTCGCAGCTGTTTCTCTCTTTTCTGAACTCGTTGCTACTCTCACTCTCTCCGCAAATTGGCTGATGCAACACCTGCCACGTATTGCAACAGCTGATTCGCGGCAAAGTAAGAGGAAATCTCTTGGCAACATGTTGCCAATCTGTATGTCACGTGCTGCTGAGGAAAGTGTAGGAAAATCCACAACATGTTGCCAAAGATTTCATTTTCCACCGAATGTTCTGGCAAAGTTACCCAAGCAAATGTCAACAAGAAATGGGTGGCACGAAGGGGTCAGAGCCTTAGCGTAACTGAGCCGGCTAAAATTAGTCGGTGCATGATTCATTTCGAGGGGTTGTCCGCTTACATAATGCTCTAACGCTGGAGCTTTGCCATTATTCCACATAATGCCATACAGAGTATACGAAAGGCACATCCTATACAAACAGATACACTTTATATGCACATGTAGTATCGCACTTTGGGATTGGCGTAGGAACAGAGAATGACGTGTTTGCACTGGGCACTGGGCCTGCTTTTATCTTTTCTGTGGTGGCACGATATCATCTGAAAGGCAACGTGTTGATCTGCTAATGGCCAATGACAGCAATATTTAATTTTAATGCACATATGATATGTTATGGAAGCTTGTCAAAACAAATAGGCTTTAAAATAGGATTTTAAAGGACCACATTTAGATAAATTACAACCTTGGTACCCTAAGCATAAGTTAAGATTTCGAATAAGAAGAACTCAGAAGTTTTAATTCAGATTTGGAAAGGGTTATTACCAAGTTTTACCATCTACTATAAATGGTGTTATTTGATTTTAAAAAAATACTAAAATATTTAATATATAAAGCCAAGATTTTGTCGTTTAAAGTATTCATCGAAAGACCATAGCTTGCATAGGATATTATACGTGCCAGTTTCTACGTCAACTAGTCTCTCAGTTATAAAGCTACCGACTTAAAATTATGCACAAATCCTTGTTTCCTTTTAACGCAGAGATCGGCCGACTATATTCTATAGCTGGCATCGGAAATGCCATAACTTTGCTGTTTCTTAACTTAGAAGGTAAGAATTTTTTTTAGCTCAATTCCATTAGGATCGATCGGCTTTATCCCATAACCGCCATATAACTGAAATTATATCATATTTTTAAAGATAGAAGCTTGGGACTTTTTTGAAGAATTTATTACATAAAATATTGTTTTGATAATAAAATTCTCATAAGGATCGTCTAATTATCCGATCCGAAATAATTTACATCTTAATTTCAAGGGTACATTAACTTTGACTTTGAAGATTTTTTTTATTTACTGAAGGTATGTTCATAAATATCTATAGTCCATCCTTCTATAATGATTTTAATTTAAACCAAAAACTAATTCGATTCGCTTGTAGGTGGGCTGAAAAAATAAAAATATAATAAACATAAGAAAATAAATTCTCAAACCTGCATTTGAATGACGATCCCAAACGATAACAAACGCTCAATTACAAATATTTCCGTGTACTGCAATGTGGCACCTATATCGGGTTTCTCCTGTAGCCAAGTCTCTTGCATAGAAAGTCGCTTAAAGTGAATGTGTACCTAAACCGCGCTCCCGCTGAGCCATTATTGAGGTGAGAGCGTCGGAATAAAACTGGAAATGGAACTGAGTGCGACTTAAGCTGAAGCGGAGAAATGAGAGACACGGCCTGGGTTTACTTAAACAGAATTGGACTCACCTAAGCCAGACTTCAGTGCGGTGACGACGTCGAGAGGAATTGCCTGGTACTCTGGTTCCAGCTCGGGTTCGTGTGTATTTGAATTGGATTTCTTGGATAATTTATTTACTGAGGATGGGGTTGCTTTCGTGCCTGATACCGCTTCTGGCAATTGGAGCAGCCCACTCTACGCCCCGGAATGTACTCCTCCTCCTGGCAGACGATGCGGGCTTCGAGGCGGGTGCCTATCTGAACAAATTCTGTCAGACCCCGAATCTAGATGCTCTGGCCAAACGCGGATTGCTCTTCAACAACGCCTTCACCTCGGTGAGCAGCTGCAGTCCCAGCCGCGCTCAGCTGCTGACCGGCCAGGCCAGTCACTCCAGCGGCATGTACGGACTCCACCAGGGCGTTCACAACTTTAATGTTCTACCGGACACCGGGTCATTGCCCAACTGGCTCCGCGACCAAAGTGGCGGCCGCATCCTGACCGGCATCATTGGCAAGAAACATGTGGGCGCGGCGAACAACTTCCGCTTCGATTTCGAGCAAACCGAGGAGCAGCACTCGATCAATCAGATCGGCCGGAATATCACCCGAATGAAGGAGTACGCCCGACAGTTCCTCAAGCAAGCCAAAGATGAGCAAAAGCCCTTCTTCCTCCTGGTGGGCTTCCATGACCCCCACCGCTGTGGTCACATAACACCACAATTCGGGGAATTCTGCGAGCGTTGGGGCAGTGGTGAGGAGGGGATGGGAAGCATTCCCGACTGGCATCCGATCTACTACGATTGGAGGAACCTGGAGGTGCCACCTTGGCTGCCGGACACTGATGTCGTGCGCCAGGAACTGGCTGCTCAGTACATGACCATTTCCCGGCTGGATCAGGGTGTGGGTGTGATGCTTAAGGAACTGGAACAGGCCGGCCTGGCTGGCGATACGCTCGTGATCTACACATCCGACAATGGTCCACCTTTCCCCGGAGGTCGAACCAACCTCTACGAGCATGGAATTCGATCGCCTTTGATTGTCAGTTCCCCGCAAGCAGAGGATCGTCGACATGAAACCACAGCCGCCATGGTAAGTCTCCTGGATATATACCCGAGTGTGTTGGACGCCCTGGGGATAGCGCAACCAAATGACACAAAGGTCTTTGGAAAATCCGTCCTGCCTGTCTTGAAGGAAGAGCCTCCTGTAAAGGAGGGCGATGCAGTCTTCGGGAGCCACAACTACCACGAGGTGACCATGGCCTATCCAATGAGAATGGTGCGGAATAGGCGATATAAGCTGATACACAATCTCAACTACTGGGCGGACTTCCCCATCGATCAGGACTTCTACACCTCGCCCACTTTCCAGCAGATATTAAATGCCACCATCAATAAGACACCGATCCCCTGGTACCGCTCTCTGTTGCAGTACTACCAGCGCCCCGAATGGGAGCTCTACGACATCAAGGTGGATCCTCTGGAACGCAACAATCTGGCCGATAAGCCCAAGTACAGTGGAGCCTTGAAGCAGCTGCGACAACAGCTCTTCGACTGGCAGGTGGCCACCAAGGATCCTTGGCGTTGTGCCCCGCACGCTGTGCTCCAGGAGCAGGGCGTGTTCAAGGAGCAGCCTGTCTGCCTCACTTTGGGGCACGAAGCTCTGAAGACGTACCAAAAGCACCCTAGGATTCTAAGTCAGTATGAGGAGTATGTGCTGGTCTAGGCTTCCTATCCTAGTTCTGCTAAAGTATTCTAGAGATAATGAGTGCTACTGTCTTATCGCACCTTCAATAAAAAACACCCTTAAGTGCTGATAACACAAGTATTTCTTTGTTATTCATTTCCCTATTGATTACAATTCTGGGCGCAAATATAGGAGCCTTGTAGGTAGTAGGGTCAGGTTCTTCAAGTGTGCAAAAAATAAGACTATCCCTGAATTACTTTAGTTGGCGGTGAGGTACTTATTACTTGGGTACTTTCTACAGTGAACCAAGTTGATGAACTCTGAACATACATATGTATGTATGTTAGAATTTAAAAAAGATAAAGTCTTTTGGAAATCTAACTTTTTGAGGGTGAGTTTTTGGCGAACTTATAAAACTATGTCAATATAAATAGAAGAGCACTTTGGAAAATAAGATTAAGGCTAATTAAAATTATAACAATTTATTAAAAAATAACTTTGGTGGATGTATCCTGAGACCTAAGACCAGCAGTTTACATATGTCTGTATATCCTTCACTCCAGATCTCTTTTTATGATTATCTAAAGGCTTTCAGATATTCAGGTATTAGCTAACTGATCCATCAAGATTTCTAAAGTTTTAAATATAAAAAATTGAACAGCGGTAGTGTTTTGCATTGCCTTGCTATATTTATTTGAATGCATTTTCATATAATGCCTTTTGAAAACATTGACGGAAATTATGACAAATTCGCACAACAATTGCATCAGCCAGAGCATCACTTTCCCATGTCCTGGCACAGCATGACCTCAGCCACTTTTGGGGTGGAATCCTTGGGGTGGATGCGTCACGTTTCAATGTCATGCCCATTGGGGACACAAAGAGGGGGAAGCTGCCGCTGGCTTGGGGGTGGCTCTCGCTTTAGTGGCTCCTGTAAGTGTGTGTGGCTGGGCGGAAAATCGAAAATTTCAATGCTTCTCGGGTTTATTGGTGGCGCCGCTGCTAAGCCCAACTCCCCAAGGTCTTGCAGCATCCCAGTCAGTGTGTTACGAAACACAGACCAAACGGCGAGGCCAAGGCTGTTGAACGAAGTGGGGGACACTGGAAGGTAAGTGTAAATAACTATTTAAGGTCAGCGTGCAAATACCAGAGAGTAAAACGCAAGATTTCTCATTTATGACTTTGAACGAAAGACACATTAAAAATTAAATTTATTAATTTGGTTTGCATAAATTAGGTTCATCAGTTTTAGCGTAATTGTATTATATATGTGTATAGTTAATAATGTATATTATTTAAGTTCCGCCCACACAAATGCATAATTACAATTATTATTGTTAACAATTCTCTTCCTCGCCGATGAGTCGAAATGTGTGTGTTTAAAGATAAATAGATAGTACAGCCGATAGATACTGAGGGCAGGCCCTCTGGAAATGTTCGGGACTGTATTTCTGTTCTGTGTCCATCCACGAGGCAAATGTTTTTTATCTTCGGTCGCGAATATAATTTTGTAAATTTTTTTCTTTCTTTTCGATTTTTAAATTAATTTATTATCAACACAAATTGCATGGATCTGAATTGGGGTTCGCTTCATACGTAAATACATATTATTTGTTATTATTGTATATATCTTTTGCCATAAAATATATACAATCGTATATATATTGCATAGCTGTTCCGTTATATGCCAACATGAGACTATTTTAATCGTTTATTTGTTTCTTGTTTATTTATTTGTGTTTCGTTTTGGGTTCCTCTTTGAATACATAATATTTGATCTAGAGTTTGTGGTTAGTAAACGCTTTAGTTAGTAGGTTTCATTTGTTTTCCAAGAGCTGCTATGCTTCGATTGACTTGACTGGCTTTGCATCTTACAGTATAGAGTTTACAGTTTATCAATTATTATCAACATGTTTTCTGGAAATCGTTTAACTAGTTTATGCTTGTTGGTATTGTTTAGGAGGATTCTGTTACTTTACTTGCCGCTAGTTCTGGTTTATCATCGTTTTCAATACGTTAATATATTGTTATACGTTGCTGCTCAGTATAATTTATAATAAATACATAATAATAAATATACATGTAGATAATACGCTTAATAAATATATTTATATATATTTGATTTCTTCTTTTTCGTATATATATAGTTGTTATGTATATAATTAACAAAAAAACAACACACATAAAAAGGAGCAAAAGTAGGATACAAATCGCGCTTCGTCGCCTGCTTATCCTTGAATCCTGAAGTATCTTTACATTTTACAACGAACGAACATCGAGAACGGCACACTTTCGAGTGCCATTTTGAAATAGAGTGTGGGAGTATTGTTTTTGCACAAATATACGTAGGTAGAGTAGGTATTCTTATTCGGGTATACAATAAATATATATGATGTATATGTGGGCGAGTGACGTGGATAGGTATTGTAGCAATTATCCTATAGAGAGCCCACTAAGGTAGGTTTAGGTAGGGTTTGAATACACAACGATGAGACCGGATAAAAGTCAAAGGCAGGATTAAAGTTGGGAGTAGGAGTAGGCGTTGGAAAAGAAGGTACAACAAATGGCAAAAGACGGCTAAAAAATACGCACTTCCCGTGGGTGAGCCTGTAGGGGGGGTAATTGTTTAATTAACTAGAGAGTTTAGCTTCTGTATCTTTTGTTTTTTTTTTGCTTTTTATTTTTAATACATGTGCAAGAACGCTAGAGCTGCTTCTGCCGACCTATTGCTGATTCTGAATTAAATATATATAACTTCTTGCCTTGAATTAGTTTTCAGTTTAGCACTAAGAGGTTGCTTCGAACGCTGACGTTTTAGAATTAAAATTGGAAACGCAAGGAAGTGTCGCATTGCATTGCGCGCGTAACATTTTGTAAATTTAGTTAGTTATACGTACGTACATTAATTTAACTCGTAATTAATTTGTTAATTATTGTTTTGCCAACTGGTAAAATTTTCGCACATAAAATTTAGTTAGCTTGCTTTATGCTTCTATGGCCACCATGAATCAATCTTCTGTCGTGCTGCTGTGCTAGCTAGCTAAGCCGTAATATCTTTTTTTCCGCAATCCGCAATCCGTAACCGTAGTAACCCGCCTCTAATTCAACTATATATATATTTATATATTTGCATATGCTGCTGCTGTCCAACTGCGCCTCTGATGGCGAAACCAACATGTAAGGTTATTGTTCTCCAATCTGCGATCTACTACTACTACATATCTCATTCTTCAGCCAGTACGATACGATTTTTATATGGGATATATGGGTCTGGGGGACGTGGGATAGGGGGTAGCATTGGGAGACCGGATCGGGATTAGCTTAGTTGGGCAGCGGAACCTGCACCTGGACGTAGGACTGCGGGAAGTAGCCGGTGCGGCCATTCACGGAGCCCTCATACCAATTGTCATCCACTCGATTCAACAGCGTTATGATGTCGTTCTCCTTGAAGCCCAGCTCTCCAGGATTCTCTGGCTCGAAGTCGTAGAGCGCCTGACAGCAGGGCTGCTGTTGGCGCTGAGGGGTCACGGCCTGCTGCATCGACTTGGCGGGCGAACGCATCGGCGAGGGCAACGGCGAGGCGCTCGAGCTGATGTGAGACGGCGTGCCGTCTTCGTTGAGGCCGCCGCCACCGCCGTCCAAGTTCAGATCGAGCAGCGTCTTGGGCACGAACTCGTTGCGTGGCCGGCTCTCCGCCTCGGAGCGCTTCTCCTGCAGCGTCTCCTGCAGGCCGCGCAGCACATCGGCGCACTGCGAGTGAAAATCGTATAGTGCCTCGGCGAAGGTGACCAACTGGGACACATGCTCGGTGTCGTTCTCCAGAAGGTTAAACATGCCGACCTGCGCTAATTGCAAGGACTCGCCAAATTTGTCCTCGGCACCACGAATCTCATCGTCCTTGGCCTGCCGGCGACGCTTGCAGTCAAAGTCCAAACGCCGGCCCTGCAGCTTCTTGCGATGATGCATTACCTCCTTGAGGTCTTTGGTCTGCATATGATGCAGTGGCTCCAAAAAGTTCTGCTTGATGTTGTCGTCCAGCGAATACTTGACGTCGGCCATCTGTTTTAGCGCCTCGCCGAACTCGACGAGCGCCTGCGCGAACACGCTGTTGTCCTCGCCGAGCTTCTTCCCATAAGTCAGCATGCACTCCGCCAGAAGGCCCTCCGGCTGCGGATATGTATTCGACTTGGCCTGCCCGCTCAGCTTCGATATGCCCTTCACAGCTGCCATTTTAGCCCTGGCCGTGGGATTCGGTTGCAGGAACTCCTTTGTCTTCAGTTGCAGTTCCTCCACCAGCTCCACGGTCACATCCGTCTTCCTCTCCATCTCCATGAAGTCCATGTCCAGCTTGGTGCCCTCAGCACCGCCCATCTTCTCGGTCATGTACTGGTTGGCCTTGTTGATTTGCTTTTTCAGACCAGCGAAAGCCATGGTGATGCTGAATCTTTCCTACTCCAATTAACGTGAATGAATTAAGGAGGTGGTGTTGGTGGTGTCGGGTGGTGGTGCCTGGGTGGTGCCGCGACGCGTTTGCTGTGAACGGGTTGGTTGAGTTAGTTGACTTGCCAATCAAGACTCGGTTTGGGTTTCTTTTTTTCCACCGATTTTCAATGTCAATATCAATTGACGACGATGGCGTTGCGTTTCTATTTTTAACGTTTGGAAGACTTACGCGGCGTGCACTTTTCCTCTGCTGCTGCTGCTGCGTGGGGGTGCTCCTCTGATGGTGCTGCTGCTACTGCGGGGGTGCTCCTCTGGGGGTGCGCTGCTGCTGCCCTGCGCGGGTTACGCTACTTCTTTGGTGTTTAGTGTCACGGGGTAGCTGTGGCACAAATGGAAAATTAGTGCTCCAATTCTACTTCTTCGCTGGCACTTTCACTCGCTTCGCTTGCTCCGCACGTTCTGCCTTTTGGCGTTTCAGCTGCACGGCAATCTTCGATTTTTTCTTCCAGAACCTTGGGCGATGCGTAATGTTTGAAGGACCGTCGCGTTACTACTACTATATGTACATACGTAAGAGTGGCGCGCGCGCGGGGGTGCTCGGTTGCTGGTTTTCCTCTCGGCTGCCTGCAAAATCAATATCTCGACTGTGTACAACAATTTAGTGGGCGTGCTCCCTCCCCCCGAAAGTGAAAGTATTTTCTTATGAGTGTTGAACGGCCACACTGTACATTATTATTTGTTGCGTTATGGGCACCCTGTTTTGGCGCAATTTAAAATTTGAAAGGAACGTCACTCTAAAACATGATATTTTTGCCGAAATACTGAAGTTCAACATATACATATGACTACAATTTTAAATATACCTTTGCTGCTTTTGAGTCTACATCAACAGCCATGAAGGCACCATAAATTTATTTCTGTAATATTTCAATTTTTATACATACATTCATATGTAATTTTACAGGACGCAGTGTCTGAATGTGATATACCTTTTTTTAAATTTAAACATACGAAATAATAAATATCGAATAAGGGTCGAATAAGATTCCAATTGTTTAGCTTAGTATTTTCTGATCGTTTGGTATTGTGCCCCTATGAATTAATCGGGCACACTAATACTAAGTTGGCGCGAGTGGTGAGTTTGTAGTAGAGGTGGGCACGGGCCGGGCTTTTTTTCGTGGTCCGCGAGCTTACACAGGCCCGGGCCTTAAAATGAAAATTCGAAACCCGGACTAGGCCCGTAAAAGCCCGAAATAGACCTGAAAACAATTTTGATTTTATCGCGCGATTGTTTTGGTTTTTTCGAATTACAACCAGTCAGTTGCCTTCCGGCAATTGGTTGGACTTTTCTTGAACCCTTCTTATGGAGAGATGAATTTCCTCTCAGAGGAAAAAAAGGAAAATGTGATAGCTACGGTAAAAGCAATGCTCTGCTAATTTATAAATCATGAAAAAAGTAGTTTTGATAACCTAACTAATAACATAGGCTCAAAAAATTCCGAAAATGGAATGTTTGTTGAATTTTAAGATCTAAGTTATGTAAAAAAAAGAAAAGTTGAGAAAAACGATATCGACATAGAGTTTGAAAAATATTTGGCCTATCCAGTAGCTCCTGGTACACATATTTTAGAATTTTGGAGATATGCAAGGGACTTACAATACCTTCTTAAATTAGCTAGAACCATTGTGGCTTTTCCAGCCAGTTCGTCTACGAGCGAAAGGCTTTTTTCTACATCGGGCCATGTGTTACATAAAAACGCACTACGCTAAAAAGCAAAAATTTAGAAAAAAATGTATTTTTAAATAAAAACATGACTTAGGTTTAATAAATATGAAATTATATGTATGTATAAATATGTATACGTGTATAATATACATAAATATATGGGCATTTCCTAAGGTCGCGAACGTACGTTCGTACGCAATTAGTGCCAAAAAATTAAAGAAAAAAACATTTTCTGATACTTTTTTTTTTTGTTTCCGATAGCATTTAGTGAGTTCTTTTCTTAGTGTAAATTATGATTCTAATGGATTTTTCATTTATAATATATTGTCAAAAAACATGAGGTCGCGAACGTACGCGAAATGGAAGTCGGTTTTGGCTTGCTCTAGCAAAATCAAAAAATCTGCGAATTGGAATGGAATATTTTAAGGCACCTTATCACCTTGTGGGGTCCAAAAAATCGATTTTTTTTTTTTGTCTTATCGTGTAGATATATGTTCCAAAAATGTGCTGTAAAAGTTTCAGATCGAAATCTGAAAAATTTCGAAAGTTATAGCCCGTTACATAGAGCACTGTCGAGCACCTGCCGAGCGCGCTTTGGCGCTCTCCCGCGGTGAAACAGACTATTGAGTTGGCGGCATTTCTGAGTGTTATCATTTTCAACGATGGATGGACGTCTATACTGCGAGTGATGGAAGTTATGGGCGTCGTGATCGGCCCCCAAGCAAAAGCAGCTGCCGATGCGAGGGACCACGTTCGTGTGCAGCAGGCGGAAATCGCGCACACCGCCGCATCAAAAGAGGAGAGACTGTCACGAAGAATGGAACGGTCGGCCCTGAACGAGTTTCTTGAAGAGGAGGAAGGTGGATTGTACGGCCCTGGTATTGCAGATTAAACGTAAGTGAAGAAATTAAAAAAAAATGAAAAAAAATTTTTTTCATTTTATACGTCAAATTGTTTTAAAAAATTGTTTAAACAAACTAATTTTGCAAAAATAACGCCGGATTCGTGATCAGCGACCTGAAAAACCCCAGAATGTAAATTTTCATGTCATTCCATCATTTTTTACGATATTTGTTCATTTCTTTTTGAAGCCAAAACTTTAAACGCGTTTTTCTCAGAACCATGTTTTTGGACCTTACGTGCAGGATTAAAGACGCTACAATGAACCAATCGTCACCAAATTTTTTTAAAAATGTTCCTTAGGGTTTTTTCTAACAAATGACCCGTGACCAGCCAAAAATATTGGAAATTGTTTATTTAAAAAAATAATCAGTACAGAAAAAAATGCGAAAATTGACATTTTTTTTTCAAAACCTCATAACTTTTGGAATTTTGATTTTTTTTTCATGATAGAGGGTCATTTGATAGATGATACGATACTAATTAAGAATGTGTTCGGTTTTTTTGTTTCAGATCACGGGTTCTCAGCCAATCCTGCACGGGAGCAAAATGCATGCCGCCACCAATGGGCGCCCCCTCCCCCCCCTTTTTGGATTTTTTCAAGTTCAAAATTTGTATTCTTTGAATAAATATATGTTTATATTCTGACGAAAATTTCAGCGCTGTATCTTTAACCGTTTTCTCAAAAAAAATTCCTAAAAAAAGAGCACTTTTTGACCCCACAAGGTGATAAGGTGCCTTAATGCAACAACTTTACTTTTCAAAAAGAGGCATGTAGCTTTCAATCAAGTCTATTCCATATTAAATATCTCCATTAGTTTTTTTTTAAATTAAATTAAGTACGGGTCGCGAACGTAAAGATTTTCCACATATAACATTTTTTTTTTTTTGGTTTACCTCTTTTTTTTATAAACAAATTTATATTTTCTTAAAAAATCATGTTTCACCAAATTTTTTTTTTTTTTTAATTAAAAATTAATTTTAATTTTATTTTTAATTTTAATTTCATTTAATTTCAATTGTCACTTCTTTTATCCATCTAAAAATATTAAGCTTGTTAAACAAAAAAAAAAATTAAAATTAAAATTAAAAATTTTTTTAAATAATATTATTTTTTATACGTACGTCAGTACATATGGTCGCTAACGTACGCCACTTTAAAATTCAATATAACAAAAAATTCTTGAAGAAGTGATTTTTTTTTAATTTCAATAGTTTACACTAAAATGACAACACATGAAGTTTTATCCACCTGCTTTCACTTAATGCGAAGCAATTAAAATAAAATTATGTTTTGGGTCACGAACATACGACTAGAACATAGATAAGAATCAAAATACAAATTAAGAAGTAATTAAACATTTTTTCGCTCTCTTTGAATTTTTCTCGTCTTATTAGATTGTTATTAAGCGATTTAGTACAAAAAGAGCAAACACATCATATGTTTTTCTTGAGAAATAAATAAACATAAAAATGTCTTTAAAAGTAAAAAAAAAGGGTGAAAATTACATTTTTTCATTTTTTGGTCTTTTTTTAAAAAAAGACCATCCTGGTTGACCATCCGCCGGAATAGCCGATATGTATACATAAATAACATGTCTTTAAAATTTCCTTATGTGTGTAAATAAGTTGGTCGTAAGTAAGTTGGCGTGCCGGTCCGGGCCGGGCCCGGGCCTTGGTGAAAAAGTTTGGTGTGCGGCCGGGCCGGGCCTCTCCAAAAAGATTTTTTTTTCGTGCGGGCCCGGGCCTTAAAATACAAGCCCGCGCCCACCTCTAGTTTGTAGTCAAAAGTCATTCGGCATGCGAATAATTAGTTGGAAGCATAGCTTGCAAATAACTGTTAACCGATTCGTGCGGTCTCAAAATAAGTGTTCGTCACTGAGACTTTGAGCAAAAAGTCTGAGAGCAACCGATTGAATTGCTCGTATACAAATTTTGCTCGGGATCAGCCGAAGAACAGTTTTTTCTGTTTTCGTTTGCTCTGCTCATTCTCGGACCGTTTGCTCGCGATCGACGATTCAAAAAGTCTTTTGTGCATGTGAAGCGTTGCGGCGAAAACAAACACATGAAAAACGGAAAAATTGAAAAAATTCTCCCGACAACGAGAGAGAGAAATTCTCCGGACAACAAGAAATTAAATGTTCTCACTGAAAAGAAATGTTGGAAAAAATTTGAATTGAATTTCTTGGGTGCTGAAAATTGAAATATGAAAGGAAACAAATTTTAGAAAAATAGTATCTATATATTTACAATTAATTACTATTACTTTTAAATGAAATACAAAATAAATACTATTACTAATACTATTACTATTATAAATTAAATATAAATTAATTATAATCGGGCTGGGAATAGGCAGTATTAGGAGTAGGAGGAGTATTAGGAGGAGGATTAGGAGGAGGATTAGCGGGAGGATTAGGAGGAGGATTGAGGAGCCCTTCCCACAGGGCCCACAACTCCCTCATCTTGGGGCCGGGAATGTATCGCACACCCACCTTGCCGCAACATTTTTTAAATTTAAGATGCATTGAGAAGGCTTCTCCTTTGTAAAGGGGCACCACTGGCAATAGTGCTTATTATTATTATTGGTACTTATCGTGTTGTCGCTCCTCCTATTCGATATTAATATCGATGGGTATTCGTTTCCAAACATCTATACATCGGTAAACATCGATATATCCTCTAGTGTAGAAGAACTTGCATATAAATAGACCAAGCAATCGTTTTCTGGTCAGTTGGTTGTGAGCCTTGCGGCTAACATCAGCTCCCAGAATGATAATTTATTTTTGAATTTTCATTTTAACTTTTAAATATGTTCTTATATAGTTATTTATTTTTTTTTTTTATTTTAATAAAATATTTTAAAAATAAAAAACAAGAAATGATCTTTATGCCCTGGAACACCAGCTACCACCTGTTACTTTTGGCATTTGAATTGGTAGTTGAATTATTTCTTTATTTTTTATGGGGGTTTGAAAAATCAACATATTTTAAATATTATACATATATAAATAAGGTTGACGGTTAAAAAAAAAAATTTGAAAAAAATTCTCCC